CACATCACCCGGATCAGATGGGTTAACTGAATGGGAGAAAGGATTTGCAATTTTGAGACTTCTTTTATTTCAAGGCAGTCATTTTGTTTTATGGTTATCATAAAATTTATGAGAATTGGATAAGAGTTTGATAGTGTTCAAGAGAACCAATATATTGAAATATATTGTATACAGAATGATATACAGCTTTTGTTTCAAAAAGATGTTTTTTTGTTGTGACCTTACTATACTATTTTAGAAATTCTTTCAAGTGATGCTTGATAATGCACATTTGATATGCTCCAGCAGTCAACTCACTGCACCTAGGTGTCTAGATGTACAAATATTTGGTGGCTAAATTTGTAGGTCAATCCTGGGCATGTCAGCATTATGTTAATGCTTTTGTGATTTTGACTACACTCTTTCAAGCGCACTTCACAAAATGCTACTTAAGTGTAATGAAGTGCTTTAGGCCCCCCAGGTGCATTGGGTTGATTACTTGTTTCTTTTGGTAATAGTCATGACCTGTTTCATCCTTTGTTTTTTTATATGCCAGGTCTCTTACCACTTAATTACGTGTGTAGAAAAGTAAGAGCCTTGTGTCTTGGAATGCTTTATTAATTTGCATGCTGTCAAAGTTACCACTGTATTTTGTAATGAGTATAGTGATACTGTAGGATAAAGTCTTTAAATGATAATGAACATTTTTTTCCAAGGCAGTCTGCAAGGTTATGTAGCATCAATGATTACTCAGAGATTACAGATGTAGACACTAACTGTATTGCGCACTTGTCTTCGTGTACAGATGGCGTGGACCCCCTTCCTTGCTGCATTCTCAGTGGGTTTGCAAGACTGTGATGATGCCGAAGTAGCCTCCCTATGCCTGGATGGTCTGCGATGTGCCATCAGAATCACCTGCATATTCCACATGACTGTAAAGACTGCAGTATTTGTGAAAGTGAAAAATCTGAATGATATATTGAGAAAGTTGAGTGTGAAATTGTCATTTTTCATTTTTGTTTTGTATATTATGAAATGGTATTTAATATTTTTCCTGATCACCATTTCCTTCAGCTTGAAAGAGATGCCTTTGTGCAGTGCCTGGCCCGCTTCACACTCCTCACTGCCAACTCTCCACTCACAGAGATGAAGGCGAAGAATGTGGACTGTATCAAGACACTCATAACTGTTGCACATACAGATGGTAGGAGGAATAGAGTTTATAGATGATTGATAATTTATTTGTACAATATTCATGGTAGCTATCTTAATTCCATTTTATGTTACTCTGGTTTATATGTAAATCTGAAAATTGCATATAGGATTTAATAATCTTTTGGGAGCACCTACTTGAATGCCATGAATGTTTGTGCTGCAGATGAGTATACTTTATTCATGATAGTAGAAACGTTGATTACAATTATGTCTCAATTACAGGAAATTATTTAGGAAAATCATGGTTAGAGATCTTGAAATGCATAAGTCAGCTTGAGCTTGCTCAGCTGATAGGCACAGGTGTCAAGCCACAATACATAAAAGATTCTGGCCTGAAAATGCCTCATGAGACCTCAAACTTCCTAGATGCCTTCCCAGAATTCAGTGAGTTCATCACCATGTAAATCAGTATTGAATTATAACTTTAGTTGATAGCCAATGGCCATATATGATATACTATATACAGATGCTATCACAGCCTTATTCTTGATAACCTTGATTTTTTACTTTTTATGTGACTAGTTACTGGTGAACAGAAGAAACTAGCTCACATTAAGGAGTCCATGGGTGAAACCTCATCCCAGAGTGTTGTAGTGGCAGTTGACAGGATTTTTACTGGTTCTACAAGACTGGATGGTGATGCCGTCGTCCATTTTGTCAAGGCCTTGTGCCAAGTATCCCTTGAGGAATTAGGAGCACCTACACCTCGCATGTTTTCTCTGCAGAAAATTGTAGAGATCAGTTATTACAACATGGGTCGTATCAGGTTGCAGTGGTCTAGAATATGGGAGGTGAGTTATGCTTTCATGCACCCCTAGTATAGTTAGTTACATATTGATTGAGATAATGTTGTTATATACTGGAAGGATCTAGATTTCTGATCACCCATTTTTAAGATTAATAGCTATCAGAAATATGAAAATATATTAAATAAACAAACTTAAGAATTATAATGACATATAACCTTCATTCTTTTAAGACAGTGCTGATAAGCATCTTTGAAAATTTATTGCTTTTGAAAAGGACAGATAATGCAGGACCTATCCACATTTATTTTAGGTATTAGGTGAACACTTTAATAAGGTTGGCTGCAACCCCAATGAAGACATAGCTGTGTTTGCAGTGGACTCCTTAAGACAACTGTCTATGAAATTTATAGAGAAAGGAGAGTTTGCAAACTTCCGTTTCCAGAAAGAATTTCTGCGGCCTTTTGAACATATAATGAAGAAAAACAGGCAAGTAAAATTTATAAAGAAAATTCTTGGTGTATAATAGGATAAGATTGTTTCAGATGGTATTTCTTGAAAAATTGACAGTATTTTTGAAACATTTTCATAAATTTCCTAGTTGATTTTAAATTTCCTTAATAAGGACTACAGTTTTAATGAAACTTCCTTAAGCAACCACTTTTGGCACTGGGTCTTATTCTAGTTATATGCATGATTGAACTGACAGAGTAGCTTTAATTGAATCAATGCTGAGTCATGTTTTCCATGATAAACAGCTTATTTATGCAAGCAAATATTTGCAGTGTACTGGAGTATTGATTGATAATATAAATATCTTCCTTAAGGTCTCCTGTAATAAAAGACATGGTGGTGCGATGCATCACACAGATGGTCAATTCTCAAGCAAAGAATATCAAATCTGGATGGAAGAACATATTTAGCGTTTTCCATCTGGCAGCCTCGGACCATGATGAAAATATTGTGGAAATGGCTTTTGAAACAACAAAAGAAATCATTTGTAAGTTTATACCACAGTTCTTCCCTTTTATAGATATAGGGAAGGTTGGTGATATTAAATATATATTCAGCATATGTTCAGTTGGTAGAAGATAGGAATTTCATTATAAAGAGAAGAGTTATAAGCAATTTTTTCAAATCTTTTACTTATAGTCAAGGTTTCTATGTACTTTGTTTAATAAACTTTTTAATGTTAGGCATTATTTTATATGACATGATGATTACAGGTATAAATAGTAATGAATATAATTATATATACTTGTAAGTATTTGATTGTAATTGTAATTATGTGACTATCATGATGAGCAGGAGCAGTTATAGCACTTTGTATGATTTCTTTTGCAGCTCAGATATATCAGAAGCACTTCATTACTGTGATAGACTCCTTCCAAGATTCAGTCAAGTGTCTGAGTGAGTTTGCATGTAATGCCGGCTTCCCAGACACTAGCATGGAGGCCATTTCCTTGATTAGAGATTGTGCAAAATATGTGGATGAGAAACCACAGGTAAGATATGGGTAATCTGTATTTTATATTTTTTAAGTATCTTAATTGTAGGAATTTAAGAATCTAATGACAAAATTTTTTTTTTTGTTGTTGCATGTAGTAGTTCAGTTTTATATTTTAATTTCTCCTTTCCAGATGTTCCAAGAACATAATTTAGAAGATGTGACAGTCTGTGCTGAGGATAGAGTATGGGTCAGAGGCTGGTTCCCCATTCTGTTTGAGCTTTCGTGCATTATCACACGCTGCAAACTCGACGTCAGAACTCGTGCCCTGACAGTGCTATTCGAGGTTTGTGAGATTGATATACAGTATATAGATAGATATAGAGATATAGTGCTTTTATATATATATATATATATATATATATATATATATATATATATATATATATATATATATATATATGATGAGAGTAAGATTGAGATTGATAGTGAGGTCGATATTGAGAGAGAATGTATATGAGAGTGTGTGTGTGTGTGTGAGAGAGTGTGTGTGTGTGTGAGAGAGTGTGTGTGTGTGTGTGTGTGTGTGTGTGAGAGAGTGTATGTGTGTGTGTGTGTGTGTGTGTGTGAGTGAGTGTATGTGTGTGTGTGTGTGTGTGTGTGTGAGTGTGTGTGTGTGTGTGTGAGTGTGTGTGTGTGTGTGTGTGTGTGTGTGTGAGTGTGTGTGTGTGTGTGTGTGTGTGTGTGTGTGTGTGTGTGTGTGTGTGTGTGTGTGTGTGTGTGTGTGTGTGTGTGAGAGTGTGTGTGTGTGTGTGTGTGTGAGAGTGTGTGTGTGTGAGAGTGTGTGTGTGTGTGAGAGTGTGTGTGTGTGTGTGTGTGTGAAAGTGTGTGTGTGTGTGTGTGTGTGAGAGTGTGTGTGTGTGTGTGTGTGTGTGTGTGTGTGTGTGTGTGTGTGTGTGTGTGTGTGTGTGTGTTTACTCAATTTGAAAATTGTTTATTTTTGTAATGTATTTTTTAAAACCTTTTAATGACAAGTATATTGACAGAGAATAAACTAGAATCCAAATAATTTTTCATTCTCAAATGAGGTACAGTTGCCAGGCACTACCATACCTTGTGTGCTGAATCTTTAAACATCATTTTATTACAGCAGCATATCAACATTCTAAAAAGATATAAATAATTCAAGTATTTCATATTTTGTTTTATACACAGGTTGTGAAGAATTACGGGGGATCGTATTCATCTCATTGGTGGAAAGACTTGTTCCAGATTGTGTTCAGGATTTTTGACAACATGAAGCTTCCTGAACAGCAAACAGAGGTAGGATGAACAAAGTGCATATCCCCATCCCACTTTGTTTCTTTATTATTTAGTTGTATTTTTTTATTATTATGCTACTGTTATTATTTGAAAATAGTATGTACTTTTACCTTTGAATTTATTTGATTGAGAGATGAAGACCCTCATTCAGTTTATTTCTCTTGGATTAAAATAATGTATTTTTTTCCTTTTTTCCATGTAATAATTTCCTTTATTTTTTCTTACCAACTTGGAATAACCTTTATATCATCCTCTGATGATTCTAAAGGTGGTGGAAGTTTGTTTAAATTAACCTCATTTGTATTTCTAGTGTTTATTTTAAAATTTTCCTTTGTCACAGAGCGCCGTGGAGTTAAACGAGATACAGGCTGAGGTTGGTGGTCCTTACCCCTTTACAAGCCTCGGTCTCATGGTGCAAACTCTTTCTTTCTAATTCTTTCCTAACAGTGATCGCAGCATGTTTGTTTACTGACCCTCAGATGCTCAAGAGCTCAGGGAACAGAATGCATTTCATTCTCAGTGAGATAAATGATAGAGATTAAAAGTAGAATGTTGACCAAAATGCCCTCTCTGGAACAAAGCAAAAATGTTCTATTTTTAAATCACATGTAGAAGTTTTACCAGTGTTTGAAGAGGAATGTAACAAGAAGCTGATTATAGTTTATAGGAAATTATGGCCAGTAGTCCTACAAAGCAACCTTTGAAACCATTTTTAGGACCACCTTTCCCTGAGCTCTTGAGAAACAAAGGAAAGATGTTGCATAGCAGGTATTGGTAATGGGTATGAGAGGTGATTGGGTTTGGTTGCAGTGGTTTACAGGTGATGGTAATGGTTGAGGTTGTTTGCAGTAACCATTTGTAGGTCTTATGATGGGCAATGAGTATGGAGCATAAAAGTTTCCAGTTATAAGAAAGTAATTGCAAATTTGATCAGCCTTTTTGTGCTGCTTACTTACATAAATATCCTTTTAAGAAATTAGGTAAATAGAGACTAGCATAAGCTCATGCTTAATTTCTGGGAAATTTATTAGATTAACCCATTGCCTCCGGGAGAATATGGAGTTCACTTGGCATCCTCTCCGGGTAGTATGTGCAGCCGACTGGGCTTTTTCAGGCACAGCTGGTGCATAGCACTCACTGCACAGCACCAACAAAGTGATGTGATTTTTCTTGTATCACTTGTATGCAAAACATGATTTTAATGTTTTCGCATATTCAGAGATGCTTGATATGCATTTTAATTGCTAGATCAAACCCGTATTAGCCTGATTATATACATTAGAGTCCATTTCATTAAATAAGGTATGTTACACTCTCTGTACAAGATTGGATTTGGTTTTATTAATGG